AATTTTTTTTTTTTTTTTTTTTTTTTTTTTTTTTTTTTAAAGAGATTACAGTACCTGCTACATGAATAGCTGGTAGAAATCCTGACATGCTGTTGAACATCTGGAGAACTAAATGTATATCCCAGAGGTTTATGTAAATTAACACTCGGCTTAGTAAGAAAATCAGTAGTATCAGGAAATTCTACAGGTGACCGATTGACAAGTGACCCACTGAAGATAGAACCATGACCAGGTGAACTCAGAGGACTTAGGCTACAGGAAGTACCTGCAAAAACAAACATTTACCATTTGATTGAAAAGCTCTTCAGAAGATATTTAAAAAAAAGGCTTTGAACAGTTGAAACAGAACGGCACAAAAACATTCTATAGATCAAAAAAGAACTGTCTGAAAAATTTAGGGAAAGTCTACATATGCATCATATTTTTAAATACATATTAGACAAAGACTTTTGGGGTTTACAAACAGGCACCACAGGATAGGCTGCACATCAAAATGACCTGTTAAGTGAACACTATTTAGTGCTTAAGAGTATATGGAAGCTTTTGAAACAAGTCTGAAGTACATATATTAATCAGTGGGCCTCTTACATATGAATATTTTTTAAAGCATCTTTTTGTTAAAATGATGTAAATGTTAATTTATGCAATGATGATAGGCAGTTACTTGCGAATGAGGAAGACAGTCTTCTAAGGATCTTAATAGCGAGTCCACCGGTGGCTCCATAGCCCAATTCCAGATCCACATGTCTTGTTGCAGTGAGGACAGGTGTTTCCAGGAGAGATGGGCACCATGTTGCTGCATTAGATGTGCTGATGGTTGTTTTGGCCTGTTCCTCTTTTCCTCTTCTGCCTGTTGATGAGCTGTTTCAAAGTGTTGAGGTCCCTCCCAAAGAGTCTTCCTCCATTTTGGTCAGTTCTGAGCAAGGGTCTCCCAAGTGTTAAAGTTGATGTTACACCTCATGTTTGCTCCAGGGTGTCTTTGAAGCCCTTTTTTCCCCCTCCACTACTTTGCTGACCTTCTTTCAGCTGAGAAAAAAAGATTCTCTTTGGAAGGTGGGAGTCAGACATGTGAACATGACCTGTCCAGCGAAGTTGGCTTTGGATGATCATGACCCCAATGATGTTGGAATTTGCTTCAGCCAAGATGATGTTTGGGCATCTATCCTCCCATTTAACCCAAAGGAGCTTGCGAAGGCACCGTCGGTGGTACTTTTCCAAGCTCGAGATGCCTTTCATATGTGGTCCAAGTTTCTGAGCCATACAGCAGAGTTGGAATAACAATGACAATGGCTTGATAAACCAAGAGCTTTGTTTCAGCAAGGATGCCATGATTTAAGAAGACTCTCTTACTCAAGCATCCAAAGGCTGAGCTCACATATTTCAAGCAGTGTTGTATTTCCGCACTGATATCTGCCTTTGATGAAAGATGGCTTCCAATATAAGTGAAGTGATCCACATTCTCCAGCAATTCTCAGTTGATTTGAATGGAGGTGAGGCTTGTTTCTTCATTTGGAGCAGGTTGGTAAAGGATGTTTTCCTGATATTTAGAGTTAGGCCAGTACTCTTATAGACTTCCAGGAATACATTAAGAATGGTTTGGAGGTCCGATTCAGACTGAGCAACAAGCAAATGCTTTCAGTATCTGACTACATAAACATTGCCATTTAAAGTTCCTTGACACTTCCCATTGTAAGGCCTAGCTTTCAACTGGTTGAAATTATGTCAAACCGTAGCCATTTGGGCTGAATTTTTTCATAAAAGACATCTGCCTCAGGCAGAATTTTCATTATTATTGATTTTGTGTTTTGGAAAATTCCAAGCAAAATAGTTCAGCCTTTTCTTAGAACAAGGCTGGGAAAAACAGTATTATTTTCCAGTATTAAAAAAGTACTTGTGACCATGGAATAGTACGGCTGGAAATGACTTCCAGGCTCATCTAGTGCAACTCATGCATAGATAAAGGATTTGCTGCTGGTGCTAAATCATCCCAGGTAGATGCCCCTCCAGTCTTTTTCTTGAAAAATCTCCATTGAAAAACATTTCCACTATTTCACAAATGTATCCCCCTTGGATCTGCCCCTTAACAGGGAAAGTAGGATGAAGAATTAAACAGAAAACTTACTGAGAATGACTAAACACAGAGACAGACTATGAACTAGTGGGGAAAAGGAATACATCTGTGGAGGGGAACAAATCAGACAAGGATCTGGATGCAAAGGAAGAGCTGGGACTGGATTGATGAACAAACTGAGACAAGGAGATGAAGGAAATCAGGACACTAAGATGGTATAAGAAGTGTGGGGCTACAACTTGAAAGGTGAGAGAAAACAAAAAATATTGAACAGTTTGGTTAAGGGAGCAGTGAGATACATTCTGAAAATATAGTGTTCAATATAATGGTTTCAGTATTCTTAGAAGTATATTAGACTAAAATATTAAAAGATTTGGAAGCTTATGCTACATACCAATGCTAATTTACACTGATGCAGCAACGTTCAGAATAAGATAAATATTATTGTAATATGTGGACTATGATCTATAAAAGGTGGAGCATATAACCTAAATTAAAATTTGTCATAATCTGGACAGCATGCTGGCAAATCATATGATAATAATTATTGCCTTACCTGTTCGTCTAGGGCTTATATGATGCGCTAATGTCACTGAGGATGACCTTTGTTTTGGTATTATCAGTAGGTTTGTACTGAAAGGCCCGTTACAATGGGATCCTTGGCTAAAAATAAAAATAAAGAAAATATCAAGCTCTCTTAAGCCTCTTCACTTTTGTTCATTACATGCAGTTAGTCAAGGAAACTGCATGTGTTAATTAACTCATTTTAATTTAGCAAATTGCTTGAGTACAAAGTTTGATACAGTACTGTTACCCACCATTTTCTTTCCTAGCATATGTACTACACCTTTCTCTAATATTATTTAGAAAACATCTCAGCTTCCCCATTATTTGTTTATACAACTTCTAGCTCAACTCACAAATGTCATATGCTCAAATTTTTAAGGATGGCTATAGAATGACAAATATTCCCAAACTATTGATTAATAAACTAGTGAATTTGAAGATTTACTGTTATGTTTTGCTTATCAGGACATAGCCACATACTAACTTTACTGGAATCTGCAATACAGCAATGTGAAATTTTTTAATACTGTGGTCAGCAACATTTTTCTGGTGGCTGGCTGGAATTACCAGGGCTTGGATCCAAAGTAGACCAGTGCTAGGGTCCAGCTGCTGTGGTTAAAACCACAGCTGCGTCTCCCTTTCAAGCAGCCATGGGACAGCACTGGTGAAACTTACTGATGCCTGGCCTCAGTTCAGGCAAAGCAGCCTGCTGCCAAATACCACTGAAGCCCCCTGGCTGAACTTTTCCAGTGGGCCACAGGTTGCTAACCCCTGTTTTCACCTACCTAGACTTGGCTGACTCAGAGGCTTAAGCCCCACCCTCCCCCGTCTCCCTCTGAACAGGGGTGGGGGTTTCCCACCCTTTTTTTCAATCGGCTCTTGCAGGCTGGAACTCTGCCAGCCTGCAAGAGCTCTTTGCAAAAGCAGGAGATCAGCAGGTTTCCCTGCTAAAAAGGGAAAATCCGTGTTTTCTCCAATAAAAATGGGAAATCCATGGTTTTCTCTGTTTTGCTGTGGGAAACTGAAAACCCGGATCCCTACTCATAAAAGTCATCTTATTCTTTTTTTCCCCCCCTGCAAATTTCGAGTTCTGAAAGGCAATTAGTAGCAGCAAGTTCTTCCCTTGTCCAAGTTCCTGCTCCAAGGGAAACCAAAATTTAACTTGAAATAAACCCAAGATACAGAAACTAAAATCACCATAACCTTTTCCCCACACCAACACCTAAGAAATTCACAAACACTGAGACAGCGTTTTCTACAAAAACACAAATGGTTTAATTTCATCACTAAATACAAAACTGAAGTAGCCTTAAGGTCTCTCTGCACAAGGAAACTATTGTGAAATAAGGTAGAACGTAAATTTTAAAATGAAATAGTTATACTACAGTAAAACTGCATGGGGACACCCTTATCCCACAATTAAAAAGCCTTTTGTGGTTAAGGATAATCCACTTCCGAAGGGACTAAGCTGAATTACACATAGGCAACCTTACTGCAGAATAAGTGTGTTGAAGTGAAGCTAGTAAGCAAAATACTGCTTCAAGTTATATATCATTGGGCTTATATAAGCCCTTATTCTTAATCATAAAACCGTGGGGAAGCAGCAGCAGCTGTTGGGGCACACGTCCGGCATCACACTGAGGCAGGCATGGGGGAAGCTGTAGCCAGGCAGCTCAAACCCCAGCACATGGGGATCCAGCTCCAGGCAAACTTCCCCCCACCGCACTTGACTGGTGTGATGAGCAGCCACCTGCAGGCAGCCAAGTGGGTGGAAGGCAGAAGCTGGAACCCAACATACTGGAACAGGAGCAGCCCAGGTACAGCTTCTGCCTGCCTGGCTGGGCATGCAGTGCCTGGCACACATCCCCACAGCTTCCCCATGCTACCTGCTGCCCAGAGCAGTGCAGCAGCAGGAGCAGGAAGAGAAACCACTGGAGGTGTGGGGTAGCCAAGCAGCACTTGGGCAGCTGCAGTAACTGCCAGGAAGCTGTGTACTGAGGCCATGTTGCCTGGCAGGCATGGGGCAGATGCAGGTGGGACCATAGCACAGGCAGCCCTGGGGAGGAACAGTCAACACTTGGCCCATGTGGAGCACTGCAGGGGCAGCCAGATCCAGCCTGTGGTCCATATTTTGCCCACCCCTGTGCTAAGATATATCAGAAAAGGCATCTCCAGTAAAGTTATCAAAGTACTGTCATTTCAGGAATACAGTGTGGAATATTGTATAAAATGGTGTTTTCCTGTGTTCAAGAGGACAAATTCATCTCTCTGAAAAAGGTGCAGAAAAATTACTACAGAGAACAGGGCACCTCTGTCTTATAAAAGAAAAGAAGAAAAGGGCTTGGCTTATTTAGCCTAGAAAAAGGATGGAAGGCAAGGGAAGGGATGCAACTGTCCTATAAACATAAAAGGCTGGGGGAAAATTAACACTATTAAGTTGAAAGAGCTATTTAAGCCAAGCAAAAAATATTAGCACAACAACAAATAGAAATAAATTACCTATGAAAAAAATCTAAGCTGGAAATTTGAAGGTTATTAGCCATTAGAGGAAAGATGTTCTGGAACAACCTTTACATGAGATTAGTCTGACACAGGAATGTACTGATTTTAAGATAGAACTTGATCAGTTTGGGAAAAGGATTACATTATTTGACTGCTTGTGTTAGCAGGACCCAGACTGTTAGGGTAGCTTGTCATGTTTAATGCTCTGAAGTTGTATCTACTTATACAGTGGTGAATTATAGTATTGTTTATATTTAGCCTTATTTAATCATTGCTTACATTTTGCATAGCCTTATTAACTTTTTATTTTTGTTATTAGCTGGCCTTGCATCGTTTTTGTAGAGCTCATAGTGCTCATTATCATATATTTTTTCCTTTTTTACAATGGTGAGAAGTTCTTTTAACATAACATAGCAGCAGCATTGTTACCAGCTCAGATTAACTGAATTTGGCACGAACCATCTGAATCAAAGGGATGAAAGGATCAGTTATGTTAATAAAAGATAAGGGAGAGCAATGGACAATGCCCAAAGACAGACACCAGAAAAAGGAGAGATTAAGAGGTGTGCTTGTGATGGGTCTGTTGAACAAATGAATATACTGATGGGATAAAAGATGGACAGTATGCTGACCGCAGATACCAAACAGAAAGCAAAGTCAAAGGAGTGAAGTTGAAGAAAAGCATAAAAGGGCACAGCAAGAAAGTAGGTGTCATTGTTGTCATCATAAATCCAGCCTTCAACACCTGTCTGGACTGTCCCAGTCCACTACTTAACTTTGCTTCCAGGAACTGAGCAGCCACCTTTTCTGTTGAGCAAAGTAATATCTGGGATTGGGTGACATTACTGTACTGAATGTTTTTCTCTCTCTGAATATAGAAACTTCTAAGATAATACTTCTTGTACTAATAAAGTTAGACTTTGATTTTAGGGCACTGAGTCGTCTGCATTCAAATTAGACTCTGAGATTAAGACACTGAGTTGCCTTATCTGTGTTCGTATTTCACAGTCCATAAAAGGATTAATAGTGCTAATGGATCATTAAAGAACAATCTGGGAGACAGTGGTGCAGTCCCTTCCAATCCTAAAACATGAGGAAATTAGAACCACCTAAAGAGAGAATTACAGTATGTACGCTATAGTATTCCAAAACTCTATTTTAAATTTTTTCAAACATCTGCTTTAAAATTATCTTAACTTTGAAATACAGACAATTTTAAACGGCAAGCATTAAATATTCTACTAACATACTCTAGAGGAGCAGACTATTTTTGATAGAAGCGATCTGAAAACTTAAAGAGATCCGTTAAATTTGAAGTAGGTGTGAACCCTAATGTACACAGCTTTCTACTCAATCATATTTCATCATTCATTTCAGTTATATTTTTAGAACTAAAACTGATTTTAAAGTTTCATGCATCTATATTATAGGGATCTTTATTAAGTTAAGATCTGGTAGCTAGCTATGCTGTTGAATGGTGCCATCTGCTGTTGACAATGAGAGATTGCATTACAAAATTTTAAAGTATGAATTTGTTAGAAAACATATTTTACTTTTGAAAATTATTTTTCAATTGCATAAGTAGTATTTTATATATGCTAATTAAAAGGTCTAATAAATACTGCATGTAGAATGAATTGCTCTGTTCCAAAGCATTAACATGCATAATAATTCACAGATTATTTATTAACCTATTGTTTGATATTTTAAACAACATTAAACCAATAGATTAAATAGTCCAACCTGTTGATTAAAATAATATCTAGAAATAACAAGCAACAGGCAACAAGAACAGTATGCTAGTTATACAAAATATATTTTTTCACAGTTTAGAACTGATTCTAATATTTCCATGTCTACCATTAACTTACTCTTGTGACCTTCAAAAAAGCCCCTGGGTACTATCTCCATGTACTAATCTACACATAATTATAGCAGTGTTAAAAATTATATTGGTTTAGACATGTACATTTTGTTAAATTTGTATAACCAGTATATAATTTGCCCTGGCACTATGGGAAAGCCCGTTTCAGAATATAACCATATAACTATGGAGCCAACTGCTGTGCCTCAAAATAAAAAACAGAACTACCCTGAGGTACAAAGGGCACATTATATCTTCTTACTGCTTGCTTCACACCTGATCACTGCAGGATGGGTAAATACTGCAATGACAGCAAGGAATTTGCAGAAATTATATCACACTTTTTATCAAAACAATAATTTGAAATCCAGAACTATTAGAAGAGTTAAAGTAGGGTAGCATTTCCCAACCTTTTTCATCCCACAGCACACTTACCTAAATAAAAGAGCACTGCACATAGTGGACTTAGAGCGGGGGGCGAGAGGGGTGGCGCATGGCCAGCCAGACAGCATTTCGCCCCCTGCCTGGCCTGGCGCCACACTCCCCATCTGTCTGTGTCCGGAGCAGCAGCAGGCAGGGGGCATGGCTCCAACCCAAAATGCCACAGCAAAGCAATTGGGAAACGCTGAAGTAGGGAACTTTATCTAAGATAATAACGATCTGAGACTGGGCCTTGACAAAACAGAAAGCTAGCTTCCCTTGGATAAGTTATTCTTCAATTTACAAAAACTGATTTATGGTATTTCTTCTCATAATTGGGAACTTTATTTTACCTCAGAATGGCCTCATGTCTGGTTCTTCTGGCTGAACAAAGCTACATGGTCATATAAAAATTGTTACCTCAAGTTTTTACCACCTGTGAGACAATTTAGAGAATTGATTCAATGATGACATTTTCCACAAAATATTCCCCACAGCCCAGTACAAACATTTTGCAGATGTGGAAGATTTAGAATGGCTACATTTACTAGGATTATACCAATATATGGTTTACCTTGAAGTATTATGTTCCTGGTGAAGTCTCTTGGTGTTACTGCGTTCCCACCTAGAAGACAACTGTTCTATAGGTGGAAGGGTACAAGTTCCTGAACTTCGTCTCAACTGAGATGTTGGCAAGCTATTTCTGCTATTTAGACCCTGTTGAATAATTTAACAGCGATTAAAATTTCTCCTACTGAAAATTAACATGGTATCATCTATTAGTTTTGCAGACTAGGTTTGACATTTTTATATCTAATAATTAAATGAATTTGGAAGTATGGTATTGGTGGATTTTTGAGTGGCAACCTCAGAAAAATGTAAGTGCATCTTGGTTATTATAGAAATGATGTAGAGATGGTGGCAAAGTGATCAAGGTACTTTGCTATTGCCACAGAGGTATAAGATTGAGCCTAACTGAAGTCCATCCCAAGTTGAACAAACTGTAAACAGATAACTGGTTGTATGGACACGTGAGTAAGAGGGCATAGACCAGTGGTTCTCAACCTTTTTAGCCTCAATGTACTACTCAACTGATTCAAGACACTTTTCCATAACTTTTGTGAATTGAGCTGCACACCATTCAAAAAACTAACTTATTACAGTGCTTAACTCCTTGCAGGGGGGCTAGGCAGTAGAGCAGAGGAAAGGGCCAGGCAAGGCCTGAGTTTTAACCTGAGCTTATCTCCTCGTATCTTGCAGTACCCTTCAGAGTATCTTTCAGCACCCCTGGGTGCCTCAGCCCTCTGGCTGAAAATCACTAATATAGACAAACTTGGAGCAACTTCAAAAGTGGGAGGAAAGGATGGCTGTCAGGGAACATGATTTGTACACAAGCTTGTAGTGAAACAAGTAAACTAAATCATTTCAGCTTTAACCCTGGATGAAATAGTGTTAAAAACCTACCTAAATCCTACTTAAGTTTCTGGTTGCTTAAGGAGAGACAGAGTACACTTAATGACCATTTTATGTTGATCATATAGGAGCAGCTTGAGACAAAACACAATTGTTGGAGAAGCAGAAGGTAATCGTGATGCCCACATTTTGCCTAATAACTCACTTGCTAGTGAAGTGGGAGACTTGGGTTGTAGGCCCTCCTTAGCATGAAGGTGATCAAACCCGTATCTCCCAATTCCTAGAAAAGTGCCCTAACCACCGAACTATTGTCTAGGATGGGTGGTATCCTCTTGTACCCTTCCAGTTGAAGCTGGCCCTTTAACCAGTAAAGACTGCAAGATTGAAGGGTCAGGAGAGTCTACAAGAGGAAATGCAACTCTAGCCTAGTGAGGAGGTTATTTGCTTCGGAAAGGCAAGTTCCAAATCCCAGTCCCTACTCTAAGGGCTGCTTATGAATTTTACATTAGATGGTCAAATACAGAAATAAATCTAATATTTCTACATTATTTCTCCTTTCTTTTGTTATTCCACTCAATCTAATTGTACTTTTTGCCTCACTAAATTCCTCTTTCTTTGATGTTAATACTAGTAAGAGATATGTAGCCTTAATATTGATCCTTATGTACTGCACAACCAAGCTGTACAGACTCAGTTCTATTAAGCCTTGATGAAATTCCCACTAAAGTCAGTGCAGCAATTTCCACTGATTTAAGTAGAATTTAGATCAGGCCTTCTTTCACTTTTGTTTCAATCATCTTGACATACAGTAAGTAGCACAGTAGCTACAATGTTATCAAGTCAAGACTGATTTCAAGAAACAAGTAAGATTTTAGAGCAGATGTTTTAAAAGTAGCCAGTTACCTTTTTAAAAGAACAAAATAAGAAAATGCACTCAGAATTTTACAAACATCTGCAAAGTATGTCAATAAAAATGCCAAAATTGTCTGGAAGACAGTCGTAGGTAACAGAATGGCATTCTGTTTGTAACAGCAACATGGCATACTTTTCACTTAAAATGAATTGAAGTAACAATAAAGCTATTTCAAGGACCAAAAATTACATTTCCATGTAAATATCCTTAGTAATAAAATGAAACAAAAAAAAGGAAGATTAGAAAATTTATGAGAAAGTGGTTTTCCCTACCCATATGTGGGATTTCTACTAATGTCCATCTGAGAATTTGTATCAATGGGCTTCCTCCTGCAAGTGCCACTTTCATAGGCAGACAGAGCAGTCTCCAGACATTGAGCTTTTCCCTGAAAGTGATTGTATGTTAGGGTTTTGAATCAGTGCCCATCACTATATTAGATTGCCTCCCAGGCTAATTAGATTAACAATGTAGTCCCTCTTATTGGGTTTCCTGGAGCTTTTGGCTCTTTCCTGATGAACACTAGTATAAAATATTGAAATAAATTAGATCCAAGGCCCCACATAAAGACTGAAAGCATCTATTTAGAAGGCAGATACCAAAATAAATAATCTGAGTTGAGGTCACAGGACTCTGCAGTTCAGAAGTGATAGACAGACCAATCACCTGCTGTTGGAATCTCTCTCTGAGTGACACATACAGGAGAAAGCACTAAATGTAGTTAAAAATAAGGAGTAGAATGGAGACTTGTTTTCAAATAGAACAATCTAAACTCTCCCATGAGGAACTGCATTAGTAAGTTCCTATTATAAACCAACCTGTGTCACTTGAAAAAGCAGAACTCTGACGTACTGCCCCTCCTGCCCAGCCTTAATAATTTTCTCAGTAAAAAATGTTTATATGTTTGGCCCAATTTTCTTTCGAGTTAAATCATACATTTTTCATATAGTATAAATCTTTAAAAAAAAAAAAAAAAATCAATGGAAAAGCCACATTGCCAGCAATTTTAAGAGATTTACCTGGTTAGGAATTGTGCCCATAGCCAGTAGGGAGAGGCCTGAGGCGCTGGCAGATATGGGCTCTGGCCATGGGGGTGGTATGAGGTAGCCTGCAATCAGGAGTTTAACCCTCTTGCAACCACCACCACATCCCAGCAATATAAAACCCTTTAGGCACTAGCCATGGGAGGGCGGGAAGGGGGCACAATGAAGGGTTAATTCCAGCTGCTAGACATCTCCCGCTACTCCACGTGGCCAAAGCCCGTAGCTGCCAGAGTCTTCAGCCCTACTGCCTGCCTCCATTCTAGTACTGGCTCCCCTCCTACCCCCCCCCCCCCCCCCCCCCCCCCC